CCTATATGAGAGATCATAGCAGCTTGATAACTAGACAAAGACAGAACGCTGATGTTAAAAAGACTTTTTATGCAGCTCATATCATAATAATTGAGAATCCAATCCCTTAGAACACGCGAAAAGTGATGTCACATCCCATTGTATTCACCAATTTGAATGTACGTGTGGACTCACATACACGGGGAGGACTCATCGATCTCTGCAAGTAAGGGCTGGCTTCTGAGCATATTCCTTAATGGCACCAGAAGCAAATAGAATCTTCAGACCCCATTACTGGTGAGAATAGGAGACCTAGCTCCTCTACTGCGAAACATATTATAGAGATAGGACATGAAATGACGTTTACACGTCTTTTAAACCTGTCTTTAAAACGTGTCTGGAGCGTATCCTAAAGTTTGTGGAAGCCCTAGCTGGCAATTAGAAAGTTTAAGCCACCTTTACGCGTTCATCAAAACAATTCGTCATCACATTAAACCTTCCTTGGTAAATTTTGTTTTGATACTAGCCAGGGTAGATGTACTATTGCCTGTGCTATCTTGGTTTAGTGATCTTCATTGTTATTTTCACCTTCAATATGTCCTTTTAACTTGACCTAACTTGTCTATTTTCTCACCTCTTACCTCTTTATTAATTTCATATATACATATTCCGATGACAAGTCCGTGTGTGATCAGATTGTTCGAAATGCGTGTTGCACAAATACACAATACACGATTCAAAAGAATTACGTATTCTTATTGCTTTGTCTAAATTCATAAAAGGAACTACCTATTTTAAACTATGATCATGATAATTCATGAATTTTATCATTATCGTCTTTAGTGAAAAGATGTCTATAATTGCTGTAGTGCAGCTGGAGGGGAGAAGGAATTCACTGAAAAGAGCCTCTTCGCTGGACAGTGTTTGTTTTTGCTGACAAATCAATACGGTATCAAGTAGATCACATATTTTGTGTGATCTAAATAATCCCGGTTTCCAAATAGTGACTGTGGTGAAATAATCACCTTCTCTAACTGTGTAAATTACAAATTGATTTCCGAATTCTCTCAAGTAGCCAGGTGAAAATTGAGCGACTTGAAATGTTTTGTCTCTCACGGAGCTGGGTCAAACCGGTTACACCGCTGGTGAGGTCGACGGCAAATGAACGAAATGATCGTCTAACGTTGTTTTAGATCGCTTCGGTAATCTGGCTAGCTAGGAAGCAATACTGGTTAATTTTCTTAGTGATAACCAACTACTCATCTCAGTTAATCAGTAGTATGTAGTTTAATGTATCATTTTTCGTCCTTTTTTTGTTCAAACTAACGACCGCATAAGAAGACTGTATTAAATCTGGACTTTGCGGATGATTTATGGTTAGTGTCACACAAACCAACAAGTTATCGGAAGAGGTAGGCAGTAAAGACACGATTTCAGGTGAAGATAGGGAAGATGGAGGTGATGAAGGTAACCAATCAGTGATAACAGCAACAACGACAACTAGAAGTACCATTCACTGCCAACTGGAGAAGTTTGAAAGATGTCACTTCCTTCTCTTGTCTGCCCAGGTATCACCGCTTAAACTACAGTCGACAGCTGGGATATCAAAGCCAGACAGATCTCTATTAATCTGAAATCAGTTTGGAAATCTTCAGAATTAGCTCACCATTACGAACACGATTCAGATTTCCTATACCGATTTCAGGTCAATCAGTTCTTCTTTATGGGTAAGGAACATGGCGAGTGACTAAAAGTATTTCCAGAAGGTAACTGCACAGTTTCATCAACAGTTGCCTTCTCTAGATGCACACTGAAGGTCGGATGGCTGGTCAGAGAGAATTAGCAGCATGGGACTATGGGAATAAACCAACCAAGAGCCTACTATTATAAAATGTTTATTCTTTTTATGTTCCCAATGCAACACACGGTTCCAATACTGAGGCTTAAAGTTCCGGTAGTAGTGGTGTTTATTTCTACGGGATGAGGTTGTGTCAGCCCCATGCCCAACATTCCCTCTTTACCAGCCTTGTGACCGGCTTAACGAGGTAAAGGAACACGTTGGCGGCCGGGTATCGAACCCCGAACCACCTGCATGGTTGGGGAGCGTTCTACTGATGTGCCGCAAAGACCTTATTGTGCAAGAAATGTTGAAAAAGAAATTGAGATGGATCGGGCACACGTAGAGGAGACCCTTGCGAAAGACATCGTGCGATAGGTGAGTGTTCGAGTGGAACCCTAGTGGAAAAATGACTAGTTGGGCATGGGTACGAAGGTTACATGGAGCAGATCGTGTGAGGATGAGATGACAGCTTATTGGCAGTCATGAAGCCAAGTGAAGAGGACTGCAGAGAGCGGGATGAAATGGAGATGTTCTGCTGAAGCCCCTATATTCCACACGGAACCTAAGGTAATAATATTAATAATAATAATGCAGTAATAGTGAAACTTTCCCGTTTATTGTAAACACAGAAGTGAAACTGTATAGTGAAATAGATTTATTAATACAATAGAAATTTATCTTATGTACAATAAAACAGTCTTGTCTTTGGAAAAGTATATATACACAAATCGGAAGAGAAGAAATTATGTTAACACAGAAAGGATTCATAAGATAAGGCGTATACAAACTCAATTAATGAATACAGAAAGGAATGAGAATAAGGAATTAATAAAGGGCAACATGTATAAAACACAACGTTTATATTTCTGCACCTATTTAAAGCTTAACCGACTGAAATGTATAACACGCATTAATAGTAACAATACAAGCAATAAAAGAAGTACTCGACATACATATTACAGCAGTCTACGAACATTTTACCGCCTTGGAAGTATATTTTACCATTATAGATTGATTTTATGTGGTAAAAAGCCCCACACACACAGTGAGTATGTGACGTTTCTAGAATAGTTTATTGCTTATAGTGATCACATTAAGACACTTGCATAACTTTAAAACTTTCTTTATGATTTTATTATTGGTAGTAATACTTTCTTTGGTATCTTTGTTGCGTCATTCCTATTCCTCTTATTAAGTGAGTGGATTCGATGAACAAAGATTTAGCAAAGGAACTGAACCTGTCCACGCACCTACCCTATCGTGTGATTTTCTGTTAATGTATGTATTGCAACTGCTCAGTTTTTCCCCAAGCAATTCATCTGACTACCCCAGACCTTCTGCTGACTTCACAATGATTGCAACGCATTTTGTAGATTGCATCATTTTGTCTAATTAGGTCAGCAGGGTCGTTTAAGCTACAGGGCTTGTCCCTGAATGAGTTTAGGGGGCTTAATTCTTGCTTTGATGAAAAAAAATTTTGTCTAAGATTTACCAGTCCAGTGGTCTCCAAGATAGCCTCACTATCAATAGACTAAAATATGAGCTAGAGTAAAGAAAGCTGTTTTCTATTGGATTGTTTGAGGTCGCCTTGTATATATATATATATGATTTCTGTCAATTACTCCTTTTCATGGCATAAAAGCCTGATGATGTCTTTTTTACTCATCCCAGTGGAACACAGGATGGCTTCAAGCTAGAGGCTTGGTGTTTCGGTAGCAGTGGTGTTTATTATTACGGGAAGATGGGGTTGCCAGCCTCATGTCCAACCTTCCCTCTTCACCAGCCTTATTACTGGCTTAGCGACGTAAAGGAGTTCCTCGTCGGCCGGGGATCGGACTCGGGACTGCATGCTTGGTCAGCGAGCATTCTACCTCTGTGCCACCGACGCACGACTTCATAATCATCCTGGTATTGAAATCAAAACAAGATTTTGAGCGAACAATTGTTTTCGATAATTTCTTCAGGCTCCACAGTTATAAATCCATGAATAACAGAGTGCATATAGCCAATAAAGGCTAATGAAAATAATATCAGAAACTGTATTGGGGTGCATGTGTAAGTTGAGATGATAGTCCATTAGTTAACATAATCAATCAAATGTGTATAGGGTGTATAGTCAGAAACATGTGATGAAGTGTGAATGAACAATTGGGTGATATAGTGCTGTTTTATAATCAACAGAATACAAGTGTCATTGGGGTGAGAGAAATACGATAGACACAAAATACACACAAACGCACATTAACAAAGGGGACACTGAATGTGAGGGCTGACCGATAATGTCTAATGATAAAATAAAGAGGCTAAATTTTAAATTGTATTAAGATGTTACACAGTTGGTAGGCTTAGTGTAAAATCACAAAGGTTGACAAAATTAAGGGTAACAATGAGGTGAAATAAACTGGGTGGAGAAATGGATAATGAAGACATGATATCACAGAATGATAATAATGGTAATAATAATACGGAAAATTATGACCCTGGTGACCTTATAGTGGGCCAGGGTAGACAGAGAGAGTGTATAAGTTTTTTCTGTACACATAAGTCTGGTCTTTCTCTATTAATCTCTAAAGCCTCAGCTATGGCTAGGAGGCGTAATCGTGTGCCTAGTTTATTTCACCTCATTGTTACCCTTAATTTTGTCAACCTTTGTGATTTTACACTAAGCCTACCAACTGTGTAACATCTTAATACAATTTAAAATTTAGCCTCTTTATTTTATCATTAGACATTATCGGTCAGCCCTCACATTCAGTGTCCCCTTTGTTAATGTGCGTTTGTGTGTATTTTGTGTCTATCGTATTTCTCTCACCCCAATGACACTTGTATTCTGTTGATTATAAAACAGCACTATATCACCCAATTGTTCATTCACACTTCATCACATGTTTCTGACTATACACCCTATACACATTTGATTGATTATGTTAACTAATGGACTATCATCTCAACTTACACATGCATCCCAATACAGTTTCTGATATTATTTTCATTAGCCTTTATTGGCTATATGCACTCTGTTATTCATGGATTTATAACTGTGGAGCCTGAAGAAATTATCGAAAACAATTGTTCGCTCAAAATCTTGTTTTGATTTCAATATGGGGATATTTCATCCTGGTATTATTGATCCTTCTTACTTTGTTCAATTAAAGGGAATACTGGCTGTCTGTCTATTTGTTCTTACTCAAGCAAAGGTTGTATACCGTTACATAAAAGTCACACTGAATACAGCTTGATATAATTAATTCATTTAAAATTTTTAACTATTCAAAATTAACTTACCACAACATCTTCTTGTACCAAACATGATAGCAGTAATATTAGTAATACTACTAATGGTAATATTAGTAGTAGCAGTTGTAGTAGTATTAGTATTCGTAGAGACGGAAATAGAAGATTGTGTTACTTCATTACTGTAAAACCTGCATAATCCTGGCGATCCCTGTTAGCAACGAAAAGGAAAGAAAAAGAAGAGAATATATTGATTATTTTTAAAATGAGAACTGTTCAACCTACAGTAGAGTTGTGTAAATATAACTGGGCCACTTCAACATGCATATAGTAGTTCACTTGAAGCTCGTGTGGAGCTGAGTACACTGGTCGTGCCATGTGTCCGCTTGTAAATAATGCGCTCGGAAACATTATCCAGCCTGGCTGGCTATGAAAATGAGAACGGAAGTGTGCATTCGGTTTGGTAACAGAAAATATCTTGTGAATTCAGGACACTGGAAGAAAGGCTACATATCCAAAATGAATGCCAAGCAAAATACTAAGCCGCATCATCCTGGAGAGAATCAAACACGCCGCCCTGGATGGAAAGCTTCGACCGGAACAAGCTGAATTCAGGAGGGACAAGTTATGTCTCGATCAAATCGCAACACTGCGGATCGTCATTAAACACAGCTTGGAATGGCAGTCACCTCTCTATCTCAACTTCATCGACTTTGAAAAGACCTTCGACAGCGTCGATCGAGAGGTGATTTCGAAACTACTTCGCTACCACTGGGTGCTACCAACAACAATTATGCATCTCGTCCAACAGTTGTACGATAATGCTGCATGCTGAGTAATCCACAACGGTAACTCACAGAACCCTTCGAAGTGAAGACGGGAGTAAGGCAAGGCTGCCTACCATCTCCAGCGATTTTCCTCATTGCGGCAGACTGTATAATGCGACAGATAGTGAGGAATGAGGAAACATACATAAAATGGACCCACACAAAATACTTATAGGATCTGGAGTTCGCCGATGATATGTGTCTGATTACCCACAAACTGGAAGAAATGCGAGTGAAAAGCAACAAGTTGGCAGAAGAAGTATCCAGAGAAGATAGGAAGGACTTCAGGTGAACATGGAGAAATCAGAGGTGATGTAGATTCCTGATAAACAGCAACAGCAACAACAACAGACAACAATCAGCCAGCATAAGCGGGAGAAATCGGAAAGAAGTAACCTCCTTTACCTACCTGGGAAGTATCGTTTCAACTATAGGCGGACGGAACTGATAGGAATATCAAAGCAAAGATCGGGGAAGCAAGGCAAGCTTTCATTTCTCTCAAGTCACTGCTACTTTATGGATCAGACACTTGGCGCGTCACGAAGGGCAATTCAAACAAACTACATACCTTCGTCAATAGCTGTCTTCACTCAATACTACTCAATGTCAGATGGCCGGCCAGAGACGATTAGCAACAGGGATCTCTGACAATGAGCGAACCAACCTAGCGGGAACCAACTGTGCAACGAATAGGCAGGAAGAAATGGAGGTGGATTGGCCATACTCTGAGAAAACAAACGATCAAGTGAGTGGCATCACACGCCAGGCCATCGCTCGAGTGGAACCCGAATGGGAAGCGGGCAGTTAGTTGGTAGTCAGTGAGAGGGTGACATGGAGGAGGTCATGCGAAGAGGATATGAAAGCATGTGGGCAGACGTGGAGCCAGGTGAAAACGTTGGCAGAGAACCGAAAGCAATGGAGACTTGCAGCTGAAGCCGTATGTTCCTCTAGGAATTAAAGGGAACAATAATAACAATTAGGACATTCAGCTCCATTTGATGAAAAGTCCTTTAAAGTCATATACAAGATCCGATTGAACCTGTCAAACGGAGTGAAATCAGAGCATTTGAATATAACTGGAGCAATAGTGATCCAAAAAGTTGAAGCCTACTCTATGTATTCAGAAGAAATACATGCAGCCGTTGTTGCCTCTACCATGGCCGTCATAACAAGTCAATTCTGTCAATAGTTGTTATCCTATTACCTTTCTTAACCAATCTCTCCTATGATACAAATGTGTACATTCTGTGATATAATTACCAATGAATGCTACAGCGACATTATTTACAGACAAAAGGATGGGATTGCAATAGGATCTCCTTTGAGGTTGTAGAGGTAGATAATTTCACAAAATTATTAGCTTAAAACATTCGTTACTCAGTACTCAGTTCTGTTTTTGTCATCCTCATGAGTGCTGTCGCTTGTAGTTGAAACGATGCTGCCTGGCCAGATAAATGAAGGAAATGACCTCTTTCAAATTTCTTCCACTAATAGAGACTGGTGTTTGTTGTTGTTGGTTGGTTGGTTATTTTCATCACCTAGGTCTTCTCTATGTTCACTAGGAATGGAGTCTTCTCTGCTTCTTCATCCAATTTACTGGTTTTCTTCTGTAACTCTTCGAGTTTGTGTGATAGTAAACATAAATTATCTGCAAAGTCCAGACTATCCATAGTCTCCTTATTGGTAGGCGCAGCGTATTCCTGTCTTCTGACCTCCTGAGGACAGTCTTCCACATAATCCGCTAGACCACAGTTAGGAATATCATCGGTGATAGTAGGCAACTATATTACTGATTGCCATGCGTTAACTAGGACATCGACTGTATTTGAACACAATACCGTAATTATATTCTATGGATAAAGAACCACTGAAGGAAGATCCCATAAATTTCGCGGATACCGATTATGAATTTTACAAAAATTAACTATTAGGCAGATTTCTATACAAATTCAGTCGTTGATTAGACCTAGCAGGTGTCTGATATAATCGCAAATAGTGATTAAATGTCGCGCAGTAGAGTGTAAATAATTACCATTATCCCCCTGGGATTAAAGGTCAACATATAGCCTCAATAAAAGACTTCTCCATTTCATCCTACTTCCTGCAGTCTTTTTCAGGTGGCCTCAAGATTGTCCGTAAGCTTTCGTCTCCTCCCTCTTTGAAGATCTCCTCCATAGCCTCCTTGAAGTAAGCTCCATTCGAGTACTGGCTTCAAGCATGTGATATCAGTCAACGGTCTCTTCAGCAGTGTATGTCCAATCGATCTCCATTTCTTTTTACATATTAGTTGCGTAGATGATATATTAAATAAAATAAAGTATAATTTATATTTCAATGGTTTACACACAATGATAAGTTTTGTTTATGAGTAATATTTTGAGCAAAATTACTGTCCGTGATCATCACACCACCTGTTGGAATTGTTTTATTTTTTAATTCACATATTTGAACACAGTTATCCGTAGAAGAGATAATAAAAGGTATGGAATTCTGTCTGATAACAACATATTTTACATTTGAAGGAAAAATATGCCAACAAAATGAAGGAGGAGTAGCCATTGGATCAACTATCTCACCAATAAAAGCTGACATATTCGTGGATTTTTGGGAAGAGAGTGCACTTAAACCATTCAGGTCATCAATAAAATGTTAGTGGAGATATGTTGACGACACACTAGTAATAGTGAAAAAAACGATGTTGAGAAATTCTTCTCACACACATAAACAGTCATGTCGACTCAATAAAATTCACTATGGAAATAGAGAATGAAATAGGGGAACTGCTTATATTAGACTGCAAAATACAAAGGGTAACAAATGGTAGCATAAAAACGACGCTACACAGAAAAACTACACACTCTGGAAGATTCCTTGATTATCACTCAGCTCATCCATTCACGGTAAAACGAGGATTAATACAAGGTCTTGCAGATAGAATATGTAGACTTACAACAACACCAGAGGATCAGCGTAAAGAAATAAACGTCCTATTCAAAATGCTATACGATAACAACTACCCAAAATAATTTATCAAAGATAATATAAAAAAAAGAGGTTAAAACCGGGAATAACAAGACAGAGGAAGGCAGAAAACAGTCACGATACCATACAAAAATGGTACACCAGAGGCAATTCGAAGAAACCTCAAAAATAGATTGCGATTCGCACCACGTTCAAACAGACGAATCTAATTAAAAATAAGATAAATCAACTGAAAGATCCCATAAAAATGATGGACAAAAACGATGTGATTCACAAAATATCTTGTGCCTAGTGTCCAACTAAATTTGTGGGCCAAACGTCCAGATCACTCAAAATAAACGCCTGCCTAACTAAAGGTCATTATCCCACAGGAACACAAGCTTACAAGAATTTACAAAAAATTCATCTATAGCTGCACATGCCTGGGAGAAAAGCCACAATATCGATTGGAACAATGTTTGTATTCTAAAAACTAATATGAACAAATGGAAAGAGAGACTTAAAACAGAATCTACATTCATTAAGGTCACACCGGATACATGTAAGAAGGGTGACTCAGTACAACTGTCAACAACCTGGAATATAATTCTCAATACACAAAAATGAATGTTCAAAAAGATGAACTATATATACATATATGAGTACAAATCATAAATGTGTGAACAAAACAATTCCAACAGTTGGTGTGATGATCACGGACAGTAATTTTGCGCAAAATATTACCCTTAAACAAAACTTATCATTGTGTGTAAACTATTGAAATATAATTAAACTTTATTTGATCTATTCCACAATGCTGAAACATTTTACTGACAATAAGATGATATATTGTTGGTTGGTCAGTTGTCTTTCAGAGTTCCCTGTTGCCACTAATCCTCTCTGGCCGGCTATTTGATCTTTAATGTCGAGCTAGAGAAGGCAGTTGTTGATAGGTGTAACTGTCGATTCGTGTAGCTCAAACTTTAACTCAAACTTTAACCACATTATGAAATTCTGTAACTATCAAAATCCAATTTAAGTAGTATAATTAGTAATGAATAAAATTAGATTAAATTTTCTAACTTTAAATATTATTATAATTATTATTGTAATTATCATTATTAACTTACAGTTGAAAAGGAATATGAACTACATCCTTTGTCTAGCTGACATTCATTAAAACAACTACTTGTATTACTGATTGATTTAACAGCAATGACTTTTGATATGATCGGATCTGGTAATCCTAATCCACTCAACCATTTAAATGAATTACAGCTTGTATTAGTCGGACAACCAATACACGGTGTACATGGTTTCAATAGGAAGAATGTGAAATCTATATTATCTATACAGGTGTGTACAAAACAAAGATGGGATTAGGTTATATAATAGAATTTATATGTGACATTAAAAACATTGTGATAAGAATTTTAGAGGTCTCAGGGTGTAAACTGTATAAGGCATTTAGGTACATGCCTACATGGCATCGTGCGTCAGTGATCCAACGGTAAAATGGTAGCCAACCATACACATGGTCCTGGGTTCGATTCCTGTCTGGCATGTACCATTACCTCCATTATGGATAAAATTTGATTTTGATAAAATCACACAATGTTGTTATTCGGGAATATTTACTGATGACCACGTTTCGAGCACGAATTATTGCTGCTCATAATCATATCAAGTCAATCACACAGCATACATGGATAAAAATTGATTCGATATTTGAATAAAATCAATATAAGATAATGTACATTCAGAAATAATAATATTAGTGTTTTCAACCAAATACAATAAGATGGGAAATACGTAACTTGTTAGGATGTTATAATGTGAATTGAATACATTTTAACATTGTTTACTATTCTCGTCTAATTTGACTGTTGGCAATAATATCTTCCATATCTTTGGTATTCCCTTTAAGTCACTTCTATTGCATGTGTTGGGTATGTAGACTCGATGACCCAGGATTCAGTAATCAATCTCTCCCTCTCTCCACCTACTTATATTGTTTTTAGAATTTTGACTCTGTCCCGGCCACCCTATTGTGTTGTTGTGTGTTAATGCATGTTAATGTTACTTATCTTCTCTGGGTCAACCATTCTTACCTTAGCTAAATTCTTATGTTCTGGCAATCTGACTACCTGCGATCTACTAGTGTGACCTTTGTAGTTGGCTTAACTCACAGTCATTGCAAGATATTTTGTAAATTATATTATTTTGTTTAATTGGGTCAACCTACAGTGTCCTTTAACCTACAGAGCTTGTCTCTGTGTGAGTTTGTAGGTTTCAATGCCGCTCTAATTCCTGCTTTATTGCGAATCTTACTTAGGGTCTTAGGTGTTCCGTTCTTATAAGGTAAAACTACCATAGATGCCTTATATTCTTTCTTATTTATATTATCCTTATATCAACAGTGCACCATTACCTCCCTTAGTCACTTGTAAGCCCGACAAAGAGGGGAGGTTTGGTGTGGGGCTGGAGCAACCTCACTCCGTAAGAATGACACCAAAGCTACCGAAACTTCAAAACTTCAGCTAGAAGCCCTATGTTCCACTCGGAACATAAAGGAATCCAAAAAATACATAGCATCTTTAGCACAGGATTGATTAGTGGCGTAAACAACGACCTCGCTGTTTCAGAATTCATCTACAAAAAGCCGATTATGACATTATAGAAAGGCTGGTTTGTTAACTGAAAGGGTAAGAGTAACTGACTCTCATAATATATGTCACAAACACTCTCTTGGAAACCAGATAACATCCATCAACGATCGCCGCTAATTTAAAACATGAGTAAAAATCAGTATCTAACCTGGTGACTGCCAATACCAAATCAACGATGGCCTTATATAGATAGCGTAGCTATAAGTGATTGATGCAGAGGGTTGGTAGAAGACTGTTGCTCCCTATGGAACACCTATGTAGACATCGACTATGTATTAATCCGTGAACACATATGTCTACGGCTTAACTGATACGGGAAGCAGGCAGTCACGGGGGTCACTACGCCTTCAACTTGACGAGAACTCAAGGTCTTCATCCAGGGAAGAAATAACGTAAGGAATAGCTGACATTAACAGTTATAACCATCCTGAGGAAGTGTGGTATAATATCCAGTTTGTTGTAAAGACAGTGATCAGAGATTTTTACAACCAGAAGATAAAATATATTTGACGGTAATGTGTTTCGGTAGCCATATCCGAACTGACAGTTACAAGGAGACTAATTCCAGTGGGCTCTGAGCATGACGATCGTGAACTCTAGCACGCTCAAAAGAAAAGTATATGGAAAAGACATCAGTGCTAGATGGCCTCAGACAGACAACTCCCTAAACCCATCAGCGAATTGGACGGAAAGATAACTATGGCAAGTAAAAATGATTTCATGTGTTGATTTTCACGGACCTGACTGTTTTCAGGATTTTATTATGAACTGAAGTCGGTTAGAGAACCGTTGGGAAACCGAACAGGGAGTACTGAAAAGCTGTTTGGTCGTAGTTTGGGACTTTTCAGGATTGCGCACCAACTGGGATTTCAGCCCAGGACCTTCCGGTTACAATGCAACCTCCTAGACCATTAAGCTACTGGGACCCGATCCAGCGGTCCATGGATTCCAAATTCTGCCAATTCATGATATGACACGACCACTGGCCAATTTCGTCGGCGAGTATTTGCCCTCACAATGGACCTCATTAGGATAGGACTTTCACTACTTCTCAGTATAGACAATTGGGACGTAGGACAGATCACTTTGAAGAGCGATTCATGTGGTCTTCAGTCATACTAAGATTGCTCACAATCGAATACCTTATTGAATATGTTGTAGACACAGGTCGTCCAGCTGCAACTGAGGTGTGTAGTCTACAACCAAGCAGAGCAACAAGATCTGATTGGATGACTTTATAGACATTTAAGGATGCTAGTGATGAGTTACTACTATCTAGGCTAACTGAAACGTCAATTAGGTGTAGTGGGGTGGCGTAGGAGGATTGAGATAGTTCCACAGACTGATGCAAACTATTGACTTTCTCAATTTATAAGAAAGGAGATAAATCTCTCTGTGATAACCACAAAGGAATCTACTTGACTAACAAAGTTTGTGAGAATTTAGGTCTCCTAATCGTTTGTGTAGACTAGACAGGAATGTAACTGTCCAGGATACTATAGTGCTCAGTGGTTCTATAACTAATATCACTTGGTAATGAAATGCAACTTGAAGTCATTCAATTTCCTCTCTACAAAGCAACATTTAGAAATATTTTAAAAATAATAATGATTTGCTTTATTCCGAAACACTACTTGTGATACAGTGGAGAGTTTTCACCATTTTGTACAATACTGCATCTAATTCACTCGACAACAACAGAAAAAATATACTACAGGGTACACTTAATCAAAATTGATAACATCAACTTTTGACATTAGCAGAAATAGGGAGTTCAAATGTACGAATGTATCTAATAAGACAAAATTATAAGATAATTGGGATAGTGTCACCATCACATTACAAATATGGGCGAATAACTAAGGAATTCTTTTTATGATAATTTTACAGTAAGTCGTAAGTTTCATATTTGACACAATTTTTATCACAAAGAACTTTGGTGGGCGGGCCAAAAAGGGTATCGTTGAGTTTTTGTACTTGGTCAGTGAGCAGACAATCTTGTATCATAATGATTTCTAGTGTTACTGTAGTGAGCGCTACTTATAATCAGATACAAGTAGTATGTCAGTAAACGAATTCAGAAAAGTAGGTCTTTTCTTCTTTACACTACTAGATGAGATGCAAGGCGGGGAGATTTAATAAATTAATTTCTCTTGGTTATAGCTTGAAACCACACAGTATTTTTGGTACAAGTATGGAGTTTTCAGCATGCGATATCGGTAGCCTAAATTTTGCAGGCCCACCATTGATACCAGATGTGCGTCGGCAGGAGATGGAACCCCGGACCATTTGCATGGTCAGCGAGAATCCTAACCGCTGTGAATAGAGAGGATGTTGAGACTCAGACAATATGGATTTAGACTATTTCTCACAAAAGTTCATGTGTCTGTCGACTAAGACAGTAATGAGCTGACTAAATGGCACACAACTTACTCTAATAACAACCTTTAATACTCTTTGCAGTATGACATAAACAGAATTTGATCTGGTTACGACACCCGTACACTCCCTATGAAGTGACAAAATCAATACGAATGGGATAAGCAATTTCATTATGTAAACACACGCTGCTTTTATAATTTTACACACTTATCAAACCCAACAGGCATCTACACCTGGTTTTGTTATCTTTACCAATTGGCCAACTTGACAATGTAAAAATGTCCCCATACTGATGAACGATGATTAAGTTGTTATATATGTAAGCTGAGATTTTGTAAATTCTGGTTTAATATTACTACCTTAAGAAAGCTATTAGCAGCATTAAAAACCGAAGCGTCAGTAAAAAACAGCAATATTATTTTGTTTTTCATTCATTGGGCGCTCTTCACCGGGTTGACTGTCCATTGGATGACAGTCTACGGGAGATGGCTAAACCCTGATTCCAAACCTCCAAAGACTGGCGTATGAAGCTGACTGGAGCTCACCGGCAGACGTATGGACAAAGGGCTTGTTGGATGTTCTGGATGTCTGGCCCCATTCAAAAAGGCGTATGAACCGAACTCCGGTCACCGGCTGCCAATGGATAGTGGACTCCCTACTCCACTCCTACTGCCTTGTAGGTCACACTTGGTTGTGTAAAGGCTAGAGCTGCACTCTCAAACAAAAGGCTGAGCGATTCTGGGGACATCACTCGTATCAAATTCCCATGAAACTTCATGAACTGTCTTAAATGGATAACCTTGTCGCAAAACGTTGCATCAGATCGCCGCTCCTGGGCAGCGATGATTCGAGATGTTCATGAAGCCGGCTCATCCTCCCGTAGGAGATAGCCGAAGTAAAGTAAAGTAGTAAGTAAATAGAAAAAAGCATTTATCGTAATGAATATCATCTACCCAAAGCCTAACTTTTTTTCAAACTGCTAAAAGTGAACTTGGTTTTGGACATATATGACATAATCCCTTTTGAGGGGGAACAATAAAGAATAATATGTAAGGTGCAAGACTTAATAACAAATTGTTAACGTAAGAATTGGGTAACTACAGATTGTCTTATCTTCTTAGTGTAGAAGGTTTGATGGAGCATTTTCCCAGAAATAGACAGGATATGGTAAGACCAAAGAAAGTCAGAGGAGGACTTATTCTCTATATGAATGCCCTTTAAGCTACAAACATTGTTTGAACTAATGAGTTCGTTAAGATCAGGTTTATTCCTGAGGATGAAATGAACTGTCTAACATTTGGAGAGATTTAACGTAAGACTATTAAGCTTAGACCACTGGCTAATGTCGAAGAGGAAGCTAGTCAGTCAATTTGGGACAGTAAATTCGAGAAGTTATCTGGCAACGAGATAGTAAGGTCGTCAGCATATTTAACAAAGTCACTGTCTTCGGAATAAGGTGAGTCTTCTACAAAGAAGGAAAAAAAGTGGAGGAGGAGAGAAATGATGTGAAGCCGCTGAAACTTGTTTATTCCCATAAAAGACTGTCCATTCATCAGTAGATAAGAATACAAGCCTATGAATTCTAACCTCTGCCAGTGTTCACTAATGATTGAAGACAAGATAAAATTACCCGAAGTTCTATAGCGGAAACTCTTGACCAAATGGATCCTCAAAGTTTGGTATAAGGATAAATAGTCGCCGATGACACTTTTTGGTGGTTAAGCTATTCATCACTCATTGGCATATTGCCTTGTTATCTGAATGGGGAACTGCGGCGACTCAGACAAGTACTCATAGAAAATGGATATCCTCCAAGATTTATCGAGAAAAACATGAAGTTATGGGAAAAGCCTGAAAGAATCCAGACGGTGCCAAAGAAACTGCTATTTATGAGTGTTGAATTTAAAGGTGATACCGCAGCTAAGATCCTAAAGAATCGCTGCTTATGCAGATCACTGAGCAAAGCCTTCTTTATGGCTGAGCTACGTATCAATTTCTACAGCCGACAAATGATCAACGGATATGTGAAGGATAAACTGACGCTTTTGGCCACCTCAATGTGTGTTTATAAATTCACCTGCTCCTATGGAGCTAGTTATATTAGCCACACAAAGCTGCAGCACACTTTCAAATCGCATCTCTGAACATTATCCTGCATGGTTAGCAAAGGGACAATGCAAGACAATTATTAGCTCAATTCTCGAGCATTTGGTGAACTTAGGCCACGTAGCTCCACCAGAATCGTCTTTCAAGATCATCTACAAAGTGAAACCAAATGGTCCAAACGGCATCAGGTTTCGGCTTTTGTGTATGGTGGAGGCGCTGGCAATTCATCAATACAACCCTGAACTCTGTATACAGAAAACGTCTGTCCAGTCTCTTATTCTACCTTGGTCTTAACCTTCTCACTAATCGTTGCCTGTTGAAAAAAATTTCTGATTTTTTTCTCTTCTTTTTTGTAATTTTTAAACTTACTTTTAGTTTGCTTTTGCTTTAATAATTAATTCACTATTATCACTTGTATATTTTCACACTCCCTTCACACTTGTTAAATTGACACTGAAATACCTTTATTCTTAATCAATAGCAATTTTAACCTTATCAAATTACTTTCTTCCGTTGAGTACCACGTAATTTACTTTACTTTTAATCTTTTACTTCTAAAGCCCCTTCTGAGTAATTATATCAATTATGTCACCGCCCCCTATTACTTAATAATAGACCACTATATGTTTTTTTGTAAGTATAAATACGACTGTACAGCCAGGCAGGCTGTGAAGATGATTTCGTCGATAAAGAAAGAATTTTCTTCGCTGAATCTGTCTTTTATTTTTCTTCAACCTGAAGGTTCTATGTTCGACCCCTGGCAATTCAGTCTTGGGTACGTACTTCAAAGCAGTTGCAAACTAGGAATAGAAACGGCTGTCTAGTACTCACTCACACACAAACACTTAAATATCATACTACAATGATCAATGAACTTACCACAGCATGTTATAGTTCCATACCAGAAGGGATCACCAGCTAATGTCAAATTATTCGATGTTATATTGCTTCTATATAAAGAACATATCATTGATGCAGGCTATAAGTCAACAGAAAAAAAAGAGTTAAACTGATAAGTTCAGAGTGTTTCACGAAGATAATATTTGGATTACGTATTCTTGATTAAATTTACAGTTTGAAGGCAGAAAAGTATATTCTACTGATTGATTGATATGAGTAGTTGCTTAATACTCACACCAAGAAGTAATGCTTGCTTCACTACCAGATCGAAATGACGGCCATCTCCCTCGTTTGCTGGGGCCAGGTTCACTATCCGTGACCCCGAACGAGAGATGTTTTGATCACCTCGATCTGGCTAGCAAGTATTACTGATTGGGCAAAGCAATAAGAAGACGTAATTTGTCTGAATCGTGTAATGTGCATTTGTGCAACACGCATTTCCAACAATCTGATCACACACGAACTTGTCACAGGAATATATATATGATGAAATTAATAAAGAGTTAAGAGGTGAGAAAATAGACAAGTTAGGTCAAGATAAAAGACATACTGAAGGTCTGAATAACAGTGAAGACCGCTAACCAAATAGCAGAGGTAATAGTACATCCGCTACGGTACCAAAACAAAATTTACCAAGGAAGGTTTAATGTGATGACGAATTGTTGCTTTGAACGCATAAAAGTGGTTTATACTTTCTAATTGCTAGCTAGGGCTTCCACAAACTTTAGGATACACCCTCCCCTGATCACGTTTTATAGATAGGGTGAAAAGACGTGTTGACATCAACTTTATGTCCTGTCTCTATAATATGTTTCGCAGTACAGGAGCTAGGTCTCCTATTCTCACCATTAATGGCTTCTGAAGATTCCATTTGTTTCCGGAGCCATTTACGAATATGCTGTGAAGCCAGCTCTTACTTGCAGAGATTGATGAGTCCTCCCTATGCATGTGTGTCCACACATTCATTCAAACTGCTGAATACAGTGGGATGTGACACTACTTTTCGCATGTTCAAAGGGACTGGATGGATACATTGGCTTCAAATTCTCAATTATTATGATATGAGCTGCATAAAAAGTCTTTTTTTAACCACAACGTTCAATCTTTCTCTAGTTGTCAAGCTGCTATTATGCCTAATACAGGGTAACTTGATGCACACGTCTTTCTTAGGGGCGAGTTGGATATTGGGTCTTGGTGTTCTGATTACTTTATATCTCCTGATGAACCTGTCTGGATAATTGTTATCAACCAGAGTTTGTGTCAACTTTCCTTCTTCCTCATCATGTGTCTCTTCAGCGCATATTCACTGGATTCTCCTGAAGAGGTACCTCAATATCTAAGGCTCTTTTCTACCGAACAGTGCAGAAACTGTGATAATTAAGATACTGTCCTGTCCTGTTCAGGTAGGTTTTCTATAAATAGATTGTTTTATTGGCCTATCAAGCCGTCAGTTGACTAAGCAATATATCATCTAGGAAAGATAAACAATTATCTACAGACATAGGTGATATTCTACTCTGACACGATTCAGACAAACTACGTCTTCTTATTGCTTTGTCTAAATTCATTGTTTTAAAATATTACTTGTTGGTCGCGTACTGTGATCTGAATGTTCTTAGTATCCAGTGGTAAATTTGGTTGAAAAATTACATTACATTACATGGCGAGCATTGTAACCAGAAGGTACAGGGTTCGAATTCCGGTGGATGCGTACTACTGAAGACTCCCAAACTAGGACGAAACAAACCTACAGTATTCTCTGCAGGTTTTCCAGTGGTTCTCTAACTGATGTCAGCTAATGATGAAATTCTGTAACTACTCTTTACCCCTTTAGAAAGTAATTTATATTGAGAACAAAGTGAAATTTTGATAAGAACGTGATTATACATACAAAATTCTACTCTAGTGGGTAGTGACTAGCAGTGGAATGCAGGGTAAACTCATTTCATCCGCATTAAGAACTGGTTAGCTGTATGCATCTTCAGTCTGACGAGTCCCAAATAGGATGAAATGAGCATACCCTGCATTCCACTGCTATTCATCGTCAACCAAAATGAAATCAATTAGAGAATAATTGGAAAATCAACAGGGCGTAATGGACAGCTGTTTCGTCCTATTTTGAGGCTCTTCACAGTACGCACTAAATGGGATTCGAACGTAAAACCTTTTGCTTATAAAGTGATCTCGTACACCAATCAACTAGCGGGACTCTAACCTACAGCCAGTTCACTAACTCCAATCTCTGCAAATTCGTAATATATATAGCGCGTACGCCATTCATATTTATCGGCCAGTAACTTTCGTCTTACAAGACTTGATGGACCCCACTGCTCACGACTTCTCACCAGAACTATAGGCGGTCACTGGTATGCCTCAGATTAACTGTCAAGTTTTGGTTTACAGCAACTGGATTACTTAAAACTTTGATCACCAGGTGACATCAATTCGAAAACCACTAGAGATTGTGCTATATATATCGTGAATTCTCTAAGGTTAGAATTCATAGGACGTTGGACTGGGTCCCAGGGACTTAATAGTCTACAAGCTCACCTTGTGACTGCATAGTCCTTGATTTGAAGCCCGCTGGGTGTGCAATGTTGAGGAGTCCCAAACCAAAACTAAACAGCTGTCTAGTACTGCGCGTTGGTGTTTCAATGATTCCCTAACTGATGTCAGTCTTATCATCAAACCTGTAACCCTTGAAAAAAACAACATCCTATTAATTCTCAGGCATTGCCAGAGCGTCCGAGTACCTGAAGAGGACGAAATGTCCTCAAAATATACACCGGACAGTTTGATTCACACATATAATCAGTCATATAACCACAGAGAAATACAAAAATCCAAATTAAATTAAAAGCAGAGTAATAAGTGTTTTACCGTTCTAAATGTAAATGATAAACACCCAGTCTGACGACGACATTCATCGAAACAATTCGTGGTTGTATTGACAACGCGTATCAGTGTTGTATTGACAAATTGTTGTGTAGGTGTACCACGACCAATAATCCATGTTGCATTTGTACATGTTAGCAATGATTTACATCGATCGCATAGTTGACATGGCGATAACATGACAACATCATTTTGACAACTGGAATATTCTATGAAATGAATTAATAATATGTGTAAAATCTTAGTGATAATAATAACAATGTTTGTGAGTGAACAGTTTCTCATCATGTGAAAAGATAAGTTGACATAAGAAATGAAGAGTTAGACGAAGAAAATGAGGCAAATTTCATTTGTGTATGCATATTTTTATAGTGGAGGAGAGCAGAGGCAAACAAACGATTGTCCTTTCTCCTATTTTTCTCTCCACCAATCATAATGCTTCTAAAACATTTAGAATGATGATAGGGCAGGATGAAAACAATTATATATTCTCATTTCACTAGGAACAGAGTAGCGTGGCTACTGATACGATTTATCAGTAGTATATGAAGAGACATTTCATTGTCATACAAAAATGTCAAATAGTGAAGTGACAGACTTGACGTCAAAGAGAGCAAAATATGGAAGACATGAAAAGAAGATAAAGAAACACAATACGAAGGGCGGTAGTAGCACAACATGGAAGATTTCTACAAATAACGGTTTGCAGATAAGGTGTACATAGTTGCCTTAAATAGCGATATCAAATACCAAATAAACATTCTGTTATCGAGCCCCTTGTCCTCTATCGTTACAATAGTATTTGTATTAGCAGAATTGATGCAAAAATCATCATATTTGCACTACAAAATGAGCTGCACGCTTCACTTTCAGGTCTTTCATCAACTGTAGATAGCCTAAAATATAAAGAGTACTAACGAAATAGTTTTGGGACTCTCTTCTGATATATATCACTTGTGTTATCCTGCCAGTCACCGCGACCTGACCCAACGTTCCATGAATTCAAAATTGTGCCAATTCATGCTAATGCAAAACCACTAGATTGGCAAACCGAGACGAAACAGGTGTCTTCTAACCAAAGTCAGAGCATGAAGAAGCATAGAAACCAGTCAAATCCCTGCAAACCAGTACCTTAATGTACTTCGATTGGACACCAGTTTGAAGCTAGTATACCTTGACTAGTCTTTTGTATATATCAGTCATTTCCAGTGGGGCTAAAATTCTAGGTAACTCACTAATACGGTGCACTTTGGATTGCTTATTTTAAATGGTCGGAGACAATCTACTGGAAGCCTTAGACCTAGGTTTCGTGCTAGACGTATCTGCGAGCCCAAACAGCTCACTGCTAACGTCTCTGAATGCAGCATATACTCGGTGATTTGGGTTCGAATATCAGAGAGGAGATGAGTTCCTTCAAGGTTGCAGATACGCCTTACTGACTGGTCAGTGCCAAATAGCACAATACCTAATTCAAAGGCTTCCTTCCGATTGCCTCCAAACATCTTATTCGGTAATATGTAAAATGACTCTTAACAAAGACATTTGTGAAGGGAACTAGCGCAGAAATAAACAGTTCTGATAATTGAAGACTAAAAAAATGAATGAATGAAAAACAAATAAACAAATAAAATCTAAGGAGAGAAACAGAACTAAATCCATGGTAAACGTAGAGGTTGGACCAGTTTCTTTTGAACACACAGTTCCTGGTTTTCTATGCATATGGTGAGGGCTTCTGCAGTACAAAGAAGTCAAAAACACACTGCCTCTAGTAGACTTTTGTGTACATTGTAAATGACTTTAAATAATGCGTTAGCTGAGATGCTGTGACAGGTGTGCTGACTAGGTGTTCAATTATGGGGTTTCTAACTGAAACAGTGTCGCCTGTTTGCAGTCCATAATGGTTAGTGTTCTCTAACACGTCTTGAAAGGACGCGCATAGAATCGTTTTCTAATTCTGTAAAAATGTTTACCTATACCCTTTGTGTTCTCTATTATTTATACCTTCAAACTTTCATTTCAAGTTGAAAATTACTGTCATCAGCTGCTTTGGAGATGAAGTTGCTGAAAAGATATTTATATTTTTGTGCTGTTGTGCTGTCTGAGTTGGATGATTTATTTGTGGAGCCTTCACTGCCCTACTAGGTAACACCTTCAGCGCATAGTTCAGTTCATGGAAGTGAGCTTTTAGATTTCTCCATGAGTTTATTAGTCATCTTTCCCGGTGAGTGACCTTGAACGTGAATAGTTGTTTCCGTGTGTTTTCACACCTTCTAGTCTACTTGTATTGGAACTGATGGTTTCCTTGACTTGAATTTTGACCCTTTGTAAGTGAGATTTCCTTCTTATCGATTGGTAAATTTTGTTGATGTCAGCATGTGTCTATTATTAACTGATGATTCACTGGAATATCAGTCTGGCTTCTAAAAATTCTCTAGCATTCTTGGTGTTTCCTCTCTCTAATATTTGAACGCTGGTTGTTCCAGTCGAATTGATATCCGTGGTTGTCTGTATGCAGTGAGGCGATATGAGGGAATGGATGTCAAAGATACAAAGACGAAGGTGGTGTCCACTTTGGCGAATGAAGTGTTTTTCGCAGTTGTAACAATTTATTTTGTAGATGATGATGTTGGTTTTATCTTCTTTCGTTGTTGAGTCTTTTGGTTGACACAGAGTTGAGTGGACTGATTTTGTTGGTTAGTGTGCAACATCAATTCCTCATCAAGGTTTGAAGAGTCTTACAGTGATATCTGAGATGTTGTCTTTTATATATATGATAGGTTGGCTTAAGAGTAGATGCCTTTTGATAAAGTGTCATGGATATCCATTCTCTTGTGAGACATCCATGAGATATCTTTCTTGAATTTTCCTTAAGGTAGGAGTGCTACAATGAGCCCTGACTAGCTCTCTTGAATAATGTTTGTATGCAAATCTTTGCATGTGTGTAGTGTGCTTCTTGGCCTTTTCCCCCTTAGATCTTAATGAGTAGTTTCCATGATTCGAAAACGTTTACATTTCCGTTTGACTGATTATCTTGCAGCGAAATGATTGGTCCTTGTTGACATATCAGCTTCTAGTGCGGAGGCTTCCATGATATCTGAGGATGAACATGATGCTACTTTGGTGGATACTCAGATGAAACTAGAACTAGATCTCTATGAAGGTTAAGAACAAAATGGTTCCTCTTATTACCTTCATTGTTACAATTAATTTTTGTGTTTTGTATTTTGTATTTTCATTTTTCAAATGATGAACTTTATTCGTACAACCTGAGAATAGAATAAAATAATTTTAAACAAAATAACAATGAATGTGAATGAGCTTTTGTCAGGAGTACAAAAAACTGAAAAAGCCATTTAATTAGCACCATTTTATTCATATATAGAATAATAATAATAGGAGTAGTAGTCGTAAGAATAACAATATTTCACCTTAATATGAAAAGGAAATATTGTTTATGTAATCAACTTTATTCAAAACAATTAGCCATGGTTACATGTAAACCGCTGAGGACTACTCCAAATTTTGTGTAGAAGTTCACGGTTAAACAATACAGTATGCAGCATAATGTGGTTAACTAAAGTGTCCCCTCCTTCAACTCATGCACACACACATACATACACTCGCACAGACACACACACGAAATGACAATATACGAACAGTTAGGTGTGAAATGAATGCTTTCCATAACATTTAGTTAGTTCCCCTTTTGGGTGCAAAAAGTATTTTCAATTCACATATGATAACTATTTAGGCCTTTGTCCCACTCAAGGGAACAATAAAAGTAGTAATAATAATAATAATGGTACTGGTTCATTATACTCTCAGTGTCATCCTTCTTTCCTGTCCTTTACCTCCTCAGTAGAACATAGGGCTTCAAGCTACTTGAGTTTTGAAGTCTCGGTAGAAGTGGTGTTTATTTTTACGCCGTGGAGTCGCTAGCTTCATGCCCAGACTTCTCTTTTTACCAGTCTTAGTACTGGTTTGGAGAGGTGAGGGAGTTCCACGTCGGACGGGGATCGAACCCCAGATTGCATGCGTAATCAGCGAGCATTCTACCGCTGTGTCACCGATGCACTAATGTTATCCTTACTCTTAGATATGCATGTTCATCTGGGTGTGTGTGACCTTTTGCGTATATTTATATTGTTTTCTGCTGTTACTGTGTTCAGTACAATGAAAATAACTTAATAAGAACAACAAAGTTCAGAGTAGAGACTCTTTTCGACGGCGAATTCATTCACTTAGCTGTACAATAGCATTTATACGTAACTATTTTGTGTGTGTGTACATTAGAATCGTCAAACAAAAATAAAAATGAGTTAGGGTTATTGTTTACGTCATCAAAACGTTTCAAAAATGTAACAAATACTGAAACCATAACTATATATGGGGGATGAAGATTGGTAATTATTGACAAGGGTTGCGTAATGTGAAATAGGCCATTAATGGAGACACGTGTCCAAAACAGATTATATAATAGATAGAAAGAGCAAGATATATAGGTCGTCCGATGTGTGTTTTATCTAAAAGAGTCAGAGGACACTATCCTGCCTGGCCAGGAATAATGAACAGCGGATCAATAAGGAGTGCTATAATTGAACATATATACAACACCAGTCACTCAGTTTGTAGGAAGAATTCGATCAAAGTCATCCACAAAGTCAAAAGAAGCCTTTCGAAAACGGTAAGCTCCAGTATACTTTGCATTTCTGAGGCCTTAGTGTTTGGGTTGGAAAACTCTGATTTATGTACTCAGAAAAAAATTCTCCACCCTCTCCTTGTACCTTGGGTTTAATTCTAAGTTCTACTAGTTTTTAATATGGCTTTTCTTGAGTTTTCGTATGACTTCTTGGTAAAATCTTTTTCTTAACTAACCCTTTATTTACTCTTCCTACCTACCGCATAATTCATCTTGGACACGTCTATTTATGCTTTTTCATTGACATCATATTTTTCTGGGTGTCTTGCATATTACGCAACCCTTGTCAATAATTACCTATCTTCATCCCCCCTCTCTTGTTACGCTTTGAGTATTCACCACATTTTTGAAACATTTCGGTGACATAAACAATAACCCTAACTAATTTTTATTTTTGTTTGAAAATCTCAATGTACACACACCAGTAGGTTCCATCCAGTCATGTGTGAGGATTAATGTCCCCTCGATGATATCGGTTGGTGGCCGTGCTAAATCACGAAATGATAGAAGTTGGAATCCATGGGTTGGCCACTGAATAGGGTCCCAGAGGCTGCCTTGTAACCGGAAGGTCCTAGGTCCGAACCCCGGTGGGTACGTACTGCGATGGTTCCT